GACCCGTGGCGAGGTCAAACCTGCAGAAAGAGCCATATTCCTGTCCTCCTGATCTGGCAGAATCTCTTTAGTCGCCTTGGCTAGAATGTCCATGGATTCATCATCATTTGGAGGACGAGAAACTGTTGCAGGAGCTGATGAAGATGATGAACGTGAACGATTTCTCTTAACTTCCATATTGAAAAACGCAGAGAGATTTTAATCACGACTTATCAGACTGCGCCATAAGAAACAAAGACAACGTTACAAGGTGGAGTCAGGGTGCATTGGCCTGAACCTGGGCACTAACTTAAATTTGAATGTGAATGGAAGACGATACCATTACTTCAAAGGTGGATCAGACTGCATCACGAGGGGCAATCGACGAGGTGAGTCTCTCCGAGATTAGCTAAATATAATAGACATCATGTGGGTTGAGCTACTCCAAATACGGGCCTTTAGAAAACATTGCAGAATCTGACCAAAATAGCGCCACCTGTTGACTCTCGGGAACAGGTTGGCAAGGACCTAGCGGTCAGGGTGAAGGGTCGCAATGCCCAAAGCCCATGACTGACCGCCACGCCTCAGCTTCATCATGGGCTGATGGCAGTTAAGGTGGAGGGCTGTCATACCTGAAACCTCATGTAGGCTCCATTCCGGGTCCGAAATCGACTTCATCTAGCAACATATCCCAACCAGCACCACCTCATCAACAAGCCGCAGTTGCTATTCAAGCTGGATCGGAGCCTACACCATCCGCACCACCTAGCGGCACCGGCAACTCCCAGGGCCCGATTGCACCTACAGCAAACCTGGCTGGTTATGCATCAGCCTAGTCACAGCCACAAACTTTTTCAACCCAGCCATGCCTTGAAACTTGAGCCCCTGGGGTACTCCTCAGTTGCCCACAGCTACAAACCCAGGTCCGGTACCGCCAAGCGTGAGCAACCCTTCGGGTTTTCCTCCCCAGTGTTTTCCAGCAATGATACCACCGGCAAATCTGCCATTGTCAGGAAATACTCAGACAACTTAACCCACCACAACTGGTCTACCGGTGCAGTCATCATCCACCAGCACTGGCATGGCTCGCACCGACTCTGCTGTTTCACTTGTCAGCGACAGCGAGGAGGAAAACTCGGAAACCTCTGGCGCTGGGAATGCAGCAATTTCCCTTCCAGCTACGAGAGAGATACTGCGCAATCCTCACAAAAAGGACAAAGGTAACCCCATTTCTGAGGAGGTGATTCAGTGGTGGGAGGATCTGAGAACTCATGAACTTTCGTCAGAAGATCACAAGGAAGAGATGTCCTCTTTCGTGGTTCCCGTTGAGCAAAAGAACTATTTTTTCTGCACCAGAATTGCCAGCTGGAATCAAGAAAGTTTTCAAGCAGGTAAATCCCTCCATTGTTTTTCAGGATGACAGACTTACCACTGCTCAAAGTTATGCTCTGAAAGCAGCCCTGCCACTTCTTTGCTCATTTGAGGCAGTTGCTGACCCTGAAGGTCCCAGTGAGATTAACAAGGACTAGGTGCTGGATTTAGTTTCTTCTGGCCCAATCCAGGGCCTTACAACCACTCGTCAGCGTGCCTTCGATGACATCGTTGATACAAAAATTGATACCCTTAAGCGGAATCAACCTTACATGGGCGAGCTCTTCAGTTCATCATTAATGAAGGACATTGAAGAGACAGAAAATGCGAATAAGTTAACAGCTAAAGTTACTAGTAGTAAAGGTCTTCCAAAGACAAGCGCATCTCCCCTACCGAGCTGCGTATAGAGCGTCTAGATACCGACGGTTCTCAACTTCTGTGAAGCCCACATATAAGGGCTCTACTGGTCGGATTTCCAACAAGCCGTCTACAAGTCGAGGAAGAGCTGGTAGGCAGAACTTTTCTTCAGACAACCTATCCTCAAAAAATAACTACATGCACACTGTACATGTATGATTTTCCAGTCAGTTCTCCAACATCTCCTGCACATCTTTTACCGGCAGGCCGTCTTCAACATTTTAAACGTCTATGGCTACTTATCACTCACGACCTGTGGGTCATTGATACTATCTCTGGCTAC